CTAATTAGAGACATTGCACTTGCTACTGATACACTGTCCAAACACAGACGTCTGATATCGCCCACGAGGTCTAAAACCAAGCTCACTGGACACACTGTAGCCAGTGAGAGAAGTCAACAGAAACTGCAAGTGCGACAAGAGCAATCACCACCACCACCAACAACAACAGCCCCACCAGCAACAGCAGCAGCAACAGCACAAATGGTAGCAGTAATTGCAGCAACAGTACTAGTAGTAGTAGTAGCTTGTACTTAGCAACAACCCCAATTGCAGCGGCATTAATACAGCGTTTGAATACAGACTGATCTTCTTCACACATCAAAAGAAAAATTGCCTGAACAAACTGTGATACACTGTTTAACAACAGTTAAGTGTTGATTGAAAATTCTCCCGGGCATCATTCTAAATATTTCGGCGCATTCCACAGCGCACCCACGCTAAAAAAGAAACTAAACATGGAGTACGCGCAGTAACCTGGGTGACCCCGTGTGCGTGAAACATGAGTGAGCTGCTGTCTCCACACCAGCTGTCTCCACAGACTGTCTCGATGTACTCGACGACACATCTAAATCACTTTTGTCGGCGATGTCCCTTTCAAAAATAAATCCGAAACACACATCCCTGCACTCGCAGAAAATGCAGCGACCTTTGATGCACCGCTAAATAAACCTAAACCCTATAAGCCCAGGCAAGTATTCCCCAGAGGTTAGGGTTAAGAGCAACACTACCAACAACGGCAATGTCACCACAGGCAAGAACACATGGCCGGAATGCAAAATAAAATATATATTTGTATGCGTACTCATCGATTCGATCAAAGATGGGAATTAGTTATATAAACAAGAGTCGACAGCCACAGGCAAAGCATTTCCGCTGAAGAAGCACAAATTGATGCGTTAACTTAATTTTAAGCTGAGAAGCAAAGACTTCTTAACGCAGGCACATGCAGGCACAAACACGATAGGAAATAGGTACATCAAATAGAGTCCCGCCATATAAAGGCAGTCTAGCAATGGAGCCACATCCACCCACACAGCAATAAGGAAGTGGGTTATCTATCCACAAAGGTGCATTCAGCAACATGCCCCATAAGAAGGCAGGTAATCCAACACGGCATATCACACAATATTTACGTGTGATACTGATAGCCACGTATGCGTGTTAGAGGCAGGGCCGTACGCAGCAGGGGGGCAGCAGGAGCAGTTGCCCCCCTAGAGATTTTCAGAGTATGCCTTTTAATGGGACAAAAACTGTACGCTTTTAGAAATAAAATAGAAATGGGACAAAAGGTTATCTTAAATCATCAAAGAAATATTACAATTTAAATAAAGAAATGTGAAATTGCGAAACGTTAGGGCACAGGGGGCATGGGGAGTACCTTTGCCCCCCTACAGAAAATTTCCTGCGTACGGCCTTAGAGGTATTGCACTAGCATCTGTACAATACCGGTAAGCCAGCCCCCCAAGATTCTAAATGAACGACAATTACACGTGTAATCTGGGACAGCACCAGAGTTAACGTAACGGAAACGTACGCATTCACACGTAGCGCAAACGACTGCAAATTCAATTGAACTTGGCGCGTATAGCGACGATAACTCGATCGTTGAAGCATGAAACTCCATCGTGACTCACTCGATGCTCACGACTTTGTTTGCCAACGAACTCGTTGACTATCGCACTAGACATCGCTGCACTTTACTATGCGCACCATTAGTGTGCACAGCAGGGCCAGGGTTGAACAAGCACCTTCCTCGGACCTGTCGAACAGACGTGGGCTGACAATTTTGCACATCACCTGCGCACTACTAAAAGGGACACTTTGTGGTTGGCAAGATAGAATGATCAAATCTCTCTTCTGGAGGGCGAAGCTATTAAAGGTTGAACGAGTTTTGTTGGAGGTAGTAATGGGAACATGACCATGGTAGAATGAGTAGTACGACAAATAACAAACATCAAAGAGCCCCAAGCTGGGGATAAGGTAGCTCCAAGAAACGGTCTTTGCTAGGGTTAGGAGACCTGTGTATATTGACGTTAGTCACACAGCCTGGTCGGGCTAGGGATAAGGTAAAGGTGACACACTCAGCAGTGCTAGTATAGTTAACGAAGTGCAGTGTTCCTACTGGCAATAATAATTTTGATTCTTACAACAACTTGGTGGATTCACGGTCGTTTTATGCATGAAAAAGACGAGGAACACGTCACCACCACTGCCTGTTGTACAAGAGCAGGCTCCGAGTTGTGGGAATTGGAATGATTTGATTACCGGTTAGGGCCCAATCATTTTCTAGAACATGTGACCAGGGCACACCGCTAAACTGCTCTCATATAACAACGCAGCTTCCTAAAATCTGCATTGATAATTGAGTTGACCTTTATGGTAAAATACATGTATGTAAATTCTATAAGAGTAAACTATACCTGCAGGGTGCAACAGATGGTGAGAAATTAATACGACCTAATTCAGAGAAATGAAAACTTGCACATCTGCCACACATGTATCCAAGAGGAAATGTGATACTAGTACATGCCCGACGTTGTAAAGTGTGCTTACTCTGTGGGTGTCAAAAAGATGCGGGTAAGCGACAGATGCTGCATATGAAAGATGCTCTGGTAAAATTTTGCTGTGTGCTGCTGCAGCGTTAAGGTGGGTTTGAGAAGGCATGACTGTATAACCTTGCAGCATTCGATCTTACCTTTGTAACGGTATGATTTGTCATGAGGAGTGCGCTGTTCATCAGTAAATGCATGACATAATAATAGAGGAAGCCGGCCACATGCATTTCAGATTATTATTTTTTTAAATAATTATGAGAACGAGTTGTGCATCTTATGATACTGATAGATATACTTGTCAGAAAAAAAAGTATATATATATTATCAGGAGCGTATAATGACATTTGTCATTATACGCTCCTGATATTATTATATATATATATATTATATATCCCTTTCAGTAAGACATTATTTCCTTTATATTTTGAAAAAAAGTCATTAATGAAAAAGATGATACCTAGAAACTTTACCCACGATCAGTCCTATTGCAAGAAATATATTTTATGTGATCAATGACAAGATGAAATTTCACGGCAACCAGATATTGGTTCAGACTCAGTGCAAACCGTATTCACACCATTCAATTTCAGGGTAGGTCTGCTCCTTCAGGAAGTACAGGTACAGCAAACAAAATTATTACCATTGAAAGGAAGTACAACATGCTGACAAGACTGCTAGTCATAATCTCACACACGCACAATATAGTGCACACATAGTAGCAAGAGCTAATAATACCTAATAATAATTAATAATTAATAATTAATAATAATTAATATAAATAATAATAATAATAATAATAATAATAATAATAATAAATAATAATAATAATAATAAATAATAATAATAAATAATAACAATTAATAATAATTAATAATAATACCAAGAGCTAATAATAAGGTATTATTAGCTCTTGATAGTAGCAGCATCAAACCTAGCTCTAGTGCTATAGCCCGCGGATCGCTGCCGCAGGGCTATAGCACATTCTGCCATAGATGTAATCTAAGCAAATGGTCCAACTGATGTGACCAAAAATTTATCCCCAAAACGTAAAATGATCGAACTTTTTAACACTTATCTATCAACATGGACATCTCACCTATCTTTTTGAACACTTCCACAACTTTACACCAGGTATTTATGCTGTTATTCCTCAAAGTCTTAGCACTGAAGAGTCACGCGTGCACACATAAGCAGAGCAACCGCATTTGAAAACAAAACAACAGTAGTGCTAAGACTTTGAGGAATAACAGCATAAATACCTGGTGTAAAGTTGTGGAAGTGTTCAAAAAGATAGGTGAGATGTCCATGTTGATAGATAAGTGTTAAAAAGCCCGATCATTTTACGTTTTGGGGATAAATTTTTGGTCACATCAGTTGGACCATTTGCTTAGATTACATCTATGGCAGAATGTGCTATAGCCCTGTGGCAGCGATCCGCGGGCTATAGTACTAGAGCTACATCAAACCCATCGATCAATATATCTCTAGGCCTAAGGTTTCATATGTTCTATAAAAACCCTGACATGAGAATGGAACTTAATAATAATAATACATTCATGCTTTTAATTATATATCGAAACAGATATCATTATGTAGATCTTGTCAGCACCCTGTCTATAACACAGTCAAACATGTAACTGCAAAAACTCACACTATGTTTTAATACGTTGAAGCTATTCAGAGAAATGCTGGTACAAAAAGTAAAACGAAAGGTAAACACACAACGTACAACACTGGTACATCACTACCATACAGGCCTATGACCCAAAATGCTGCATGAACTGAAAGCGGGAGTAACTGAGCATGCAGCTTGCTACATTTCCAACCAATACGTAAAAAATAACATTTCATTCAGTCTAGCACTGTTTATTTTCTAAGTCACCCTGAATGCCAAGTTAGCAAGCAAAAACTACAAGACATGTGCAATACTACGAGGCAGGAAAGCAACATGTGGCTGTAGCAGCTGTGTGACTGTGTCCATGTATTGTGCACATGTGTAACACACTCCTACTGCCCTCCCTGATCACAAATAAACAACTAGAAGCCACGAGAAAGAAACTGCATAGTATATATTCGATCTAAATCAGTTTAACATTTAATTTATTAATGGTTTAATCTTTGTTTATTTCTGTATACATTCCAGAGATTCGATACCACAGACGACATCTGGCTTAACATAATTCAAAGCAGCGTGGAACTCGGAGTTGGTAGCTCCGTGTTCTGCCGCATTTAACAGTTAGAACTAGAAGTCGTAAGTCAGATGCCTTCTTACTGGCCTCCAAACAAGGACTTAATGGGTTGCTAACTCTGCTAGCAGTCGAAATAAAACCAGGTTACAGCTTCTTGTTTGCCCTATATGTTTTACTCGTCTCTGATGATAGTAGATAGGAATTTGATTCCTCTTTCTGAGGCAGGAGACTACTGGAATGGAGCGGATTGAACACGCCTCTAGACATAGGTGAGCTGATGAAATGTTCAGCCAAGTATTGGGCTTCGGGTAATGTCAGAAGGTAATTATACATATTAGAGATCTGTAATTCGTATCTATGAAATGTGAAGCTATTGACGCTAAGACATTGAAACTATTGCACTTATACCACTACCAGTGCCACACTACACTGTCTCTGGCCAAGTGTGACATGTCTTCAGTTTTAATCCCGTCACATGATTTGTGGTACCATATACACACATACAGCTGACAAGAACTTATAAAAACAGAGTGGCTATATTCCCGGCAGCCGGCATATATCTGACGGCTGCCGGGCACGGTCTTCGATTTCCTAAATGCCCGGCAGTTTTTAATGTTCAGCGTTATCTCAAGTAAACAATGGTTAGGGTTAGGGTTAGGGTTAGGGTTAGGGTTAGGGTTAGGAACTGCCAGGCATTTAGGAAATCGGCGACCGTGCCCGGCTGTCAGGCATATAGCCACAGCGTTATAAAAACTCAACTCAGCCTAATCAGGCTAATTTACACAGATTTACACAGATTCTCTTCTGACTCTAGGTCTCCTCAGAGAACCTCTACTGTCAGCTCTCGACAATTTTCCATGTCACGGTGGTAAGGGTTGGTAGCTTGGATAGATTCTCTATACTCGTCGTATAATGGTATAAGGGCTGGTTTCTCCAATGTTTGTCTAGTCTGGCCTCAAAGGACCTGACTGATTTTGCTGAACTACTACTAATGCTGGAAGCTTGTTCCACAAATCCACTGATCTATGTACAAATGAGTATTTCCTGATGTTCAATCTCGTTCTGATTTTGTAGATTTTGTATGCATGTCCCCGTGTTACCGATTCACCTGCTGTTTTAATGAAGTCAGACACTTCAGGATCATATTTACCAGTCAGTATTTTATATACATCTCAATCATGTCACCCCTCACTCGCCTATAGGCCAGAGTTTGGGAGCCTGAGTTACCGGAGACGATCATCATAGGAGAAGTCTGCCATACCAGGGATTTGCTTGGTTGCACGCCTCTAAACATTTTCGATTGCTTCTATGTGTTTTACTAGATGGGGAGCCCATATCTGATTTGCGTACTCCAGGTGATAACTAATGTCATGATGAATCGTTGAGACTCGCAGCTAGGGCCTGCATACCTCCCAACTCTCATTGGTTGATACAAATATAGTTAATTTTTAAAATTAAATTCTAAGTAGTGTTAGGGTTAGGATTAGGGTTAGGGTTAGGGTTAGGGTTAGGATTAGGGTTAGGGTTAGGGTTAGGGTTAGGGCTAGGGTCACAATGCACCATAAAAGGAATTATTAAAACAGGAGTTTCAGGCACGTGATTTGTATCAACCAATGAGAGTTGGGAGGTATGCAGGCCTTAGCTGCGAGCACAGGCACTTGAAGCATATCAACTGTAAGCGCACGGCGCCGCCATTGCGCGTACACTAATACATAGATATAAGAGCAGGTGCGAAAGCGTGCGCCAGGAATTCGCTCGACGCTCGCTTGATTTCACAGGATTTCAACACAAATACTCAACCTTACGACTCATCTTTGCTCCTAATTGAAGTACAGTGCTTACTTGTTGTAGAAATATCATGTCTCACTTCGCAGCAGAGCTGTGTCACGCAAAATCACGAATTAGATCATGAAATTCTCGCGATCTCTAGGATTGCTTGCGCGATTGGAACACATTTAAGTACATGGCGGAAGGCGGCGCACTGCATCTTGGGTAACCACAACGTTGCTTTCCAATGGAATGTGTTACAATCGCGCAAGCACGCTAGAGATCGCGAGAATTTCATGATCTAATTCGTGATTTTGCGTGACACAGCTCTGCTGCGAAGTGAGACATGATATTTCTACAACAAGTAAGCACTGTACTTCAATTAGGAGCAAAGATGGAGTCGTAAGGTTGAGTATTTGTGTTGAAATCCTGTGAAATCAAGCGAGCGTCGAGCGAATTCCTGGCGCACGCTTTCGCACCTGCTCTTATATCTATGTATTAGTGTACGCGCAATGGCGGCGCCGTGCGCTTACAGTTGATATGCTTCAAGTGCCTGTGGCTGCGAGTATCGTTGAGCGACTGATAGCAACTCAGAAACACGTCCTGCGGCCTGCAGCCTGCAGGCCTGCGGCAACTGTACGCGGTAGGCCTACTAGTAGCTCTAGTACTATAGCCCGCGGATAGCTGCCGCACACCTACTCCTAGTCTACTAGTACTAGAACTTAGAAGAAGTAGAAGTTCAACTTCAAGTTGAAGTTGAACTAGATCATACGCACCTTCCAATTGCAAGTGGCCCGCTTTTGCGACGACTGCTAAGGATCTTTTCAACAACCAGAACATTTCCATTCCTCGAAGCTTCGAGAAGATCGTGATCTTTCCCCATCTTCCGATTGTGCTGTTTAGTAACACCGTTTACTATATTTACATCCGCTCCATAATTGTTGATGTTGATACGAACAACACAATAACAAACTCAACACTACGCCGTGACGACCTCTCCTAAGATACGTATCTTGGAATTTAGCAACATAAAGTTTGAAAACTATATATTATTATGTTCTAATGAAATTAATATTTTGCATTAATATTTTGTACTGTAACCAATATAAGCATATTTTTTATACAGTATATTTGGTCTACTATTTAAAATTACGAGAAGAATAAGTTGGGAGAGGTTCTAGTGTAATCAATGTTTTCTGATTGGGTGAAGGCAATGATGTAAAAGATTTTCATTATGCGGCATCACTAGATGGCGTAGCATGTGCAATGATGGCGGGAACAGAAGACAACATGAGTGATTTTGTTCGAAAGTTGTTTGCTGGGAAAGCGAACATCGAGTATGTAACTGTTAAACTGATAATGATATCTGTAACAGGATATCGGGCAAAGCAAGGAGCGAAATATAACAAGGAGAGGAAGCGCCGCCATATCTGGCCCAAATTTGGGTTCGGCAGAGATCCTGGGCGCAAATCCACTTTAGGCACCTTATGTATCACGAAGTGATGCACAGATTTTTGTGTATCATCAACTGATGCACAGACTTTGCGTACATCAAGGAATGATGCAAAAACCCTAACCCTAACCCTAAGTCATAAAGTATAATCTTACTTCTTAGGTATCACGAAGTGTGTTAGGGTTAGGGTTGGGCTTACGGTTAGGGTTAGGGTTTTTGCATAATTCCTTGATATACGGAAATCCTGTGCATCAGTTGATGATACACAGAAATCTGTGCATCACTTCGTGATACCTAAGGTGCCTAAAGTGGATTTGCACCGAGACCCTGTCCCTGAACCTGAGCCTGAGGCTGAAGTTGAACTGTGAACAGAGAAGTTGAACAGATTAGTGTTCTATTGTCTCTGGGTTCGCTCTGCACAGCCGTTTCAGCTGATTATGGTCCATAGATGGCGCCCTTGAGGCGAAAAGCGCACAGCCATCCGCTTCCTCTCCTTGTTATATTTAGCTCCTTGTGGCAAAGTGGTGTGGGCATGCCTAATAGTAATACTAATACTAATAGTAATATAACCGGTCCAATGTTACTTTGTCCTTGTTATTCACCATAGCAATGAATCGTCAGGTCGTTCCGGCTGCTCACTCCGACACTCAAGACTCCACTTTCAACAGTCCTCAGTTTAGTCCAGTCTCCCGCGATGAGGCCCTCGCTGTCGCTACAACGTAATGTCATGAAATTCGAATGCATTGATGATTGAATATGTGTTCTGCCTCTCCTTCCATGCAGTAGGCTTCATATTTACACGTCACCATCTTCTTCGTCTAACTTCGAGGCATCGCCAGCTGTATATTTGCTGCCACTCAGCCTCAAGTCTCTCAATCTCAGGTTAAGCTGTTTCTGGCATCGAGAAATGCTGGGAATCGATTACTGCTGGCCTAGAGAAATCAAAAACCTCTGGAGGAGGGTTGAGCTTCTGCCCTGTTCTGCTGGTCATAAACATCGGTCTCAGTTATCAATGTCAATGAGTTCACTTTTGACACCATGTTGTGTTTGAGATATGCAGCTGAACATGGATTAACGACACTTCTTTATTAATAAAACAACAAAAGTAAATAAGTTTTGCCCCATGCCGTGCAAGCTCCTGAAGCAATTTTCATGCACTTAATATTAAATACATTGTCATTACTGATGTGGAGTATCGAATAGTATCTTGACAAGTCTTTCCTAGTGATGATATCCTGTGCATTCACTCTATCATGTTTGCATTATCACAAAACACTTGATTCAATAGTGATTCGTCTTGGCCGGATTTCTATCTGGTGCAAATGTCTTCATGGAGTGTCAAAAACATTTTGGATTCTATTCAGGAAAATTTGACTAAATGATATGTGATCACCAATGCAATGGTAATTCACAAAGTCAACCTCCGAAACATTAAAGTCACGTAGGTTATAATCAGTATGTTGGAAAAGTTTTCCTTCTATACCTTTTCAAACAATTCCAGTAAATCCATGTTATTCTCTTCTGTAATCGATGGAAATCTATATATAGTACACACCTATTAGCAGCAAGTCATTGTGACACAGTGGAATTTTACACCAAACTTCACCTCTAAATTCATACTCATTTCGTTCATCACATTCTATCAGCTAAATTGATTCATGTACAAGTAGCAAAACACCACCTCCCTTTGTGTGCTGTCTGTCATTTCTAATTAAGCTATATCCATTTAATATACCATCCCTAGCCCATGTCTCGGTGGCATCTACTATTTTGGGCTTCAAGTGTACGACACATTGACATGTTACTAAGCAAGAAAAATCGAGACCAGTCCAACGACATTACCTGCTGTAACAGTGGGTGCACTGATTAGCGGAAACTGATACGAATTAGGTAAAGGGTCAATGCACCAAGCATAGCTCTCTGGGCAGTGTGATCCAGTTTACATCTCACTCTACAATAAATAATACCTAATTAAGGTATAACATTAAAGGAACAGTAGCCTCTAGGTTCTAGGGTTATTTTCAGCTAATTTAGGTTCTAATTGCGCTACATAAAAAGTTTCATGGTTCAATCACCATTAGAAATATTTTTTTTTTATGTTTTAAAACTAACGACTACAGTTTGATTACAACGACGGTGGCGCCACTCAAAGCGCACGATCTGAGAAGTTGCGCAAAACCACTTTCCAGCCAAGGGCTACAGACCGAGGGTATTTCTTATTTATTCATTTAAAAGCAAAAGGATTGTAATATCTTATAAACGACATATAGTTTCAGTTATAATATGGATAAATTGCCCTAAAATGAATATCGTTCGGTTAAATAGCATTTAGGTATAAATATAATTGCACTTTTGTGATTAGCCCTCGGTCATTTACCTGCAAAATAAAAATGCAAATACGCAACTTTTTCAGGGTGGCAGCACGGTCGCGGGTGTCATGGCGCTGTTCAAATTTCGTAGCGTTGATGTGTAAATAATTAATTAAGTATCTGGTGACAAATACATGTGGGTATAGACGATTTGTTATACAGTAAGTACAGTTGTATGCAGTAAAATCCTAGAGGCTACTGTCCCTTTAAAGGAGTTTTAGTGTTTTTTCTAGCTTAAAACGTTATTTTGTAATATGAATCTTTGCAGAAGTCTGACCACACAGCAGCTACGTGAACAGTACATGCAGCATGCCGGCCTCACAGAAATGACCGCTAACCAACGGACGTGTTTCAAGGAAATCGCTTGTAAAGAATTCACAAGAGCTAATGATAGTCTTAATGAGCAGGTACGCATAACTTAATAGTTCCTTTGGAAAGGCTGTGTCATCAGTCAACCCTGCGTGTTGGCACGTGCTGATTGTAGTGTTGTCAATCGGTTGTAATTTCGTAATCGATCATCGGTTGGACCCAAGTAACCGATGATCGGTTACAATCGGTTACTCTGGGTGTTGAATGCCTGCGTGTGCGTAACATCGTGTGCATGTACGTGTGTGCATGTATGTGCTTGTTTAGCCCTGTTTACTGTTTGTTTACTACTGTGTGTATAATACATGTATGTTTTATAAAGGATAACTTGTATAGTAGCGATTTTTTATATCTCTGATTCTCATCACTTTTCCAAGTTTTCTTGTTCAAGTTTTTTTTCCGATGAAATCGATTATGGATTTTGATAACCAAGCGCTTGGTTCGAGCCACTGTTCAACCGATGATCGAGTATAATCGATGATCGTGACATCACTAAGCGCTTGGTTCGAGCCACTGTTCAACCGATGATCAAGTATAATCGATGATCGTGACATCACTAGCTGATTGTGTTCAGTGTATTGGATCGAGTTGAGTGTTGGCATACTCTATCAGTACCTTCGTTACAGGGTTCAGAATTGACCACCTACGTGGTGAAAGGTGTATGGGGTACTGTTGAGAACCATAGACATGGAACGTGTTCAATGGATATCACTTGGAAATTATTATGTACATAGTGAAGCTGTTATGTACCTTTAGCATTGTTGCTGCACTAGTTCAAATGTATATATGCTAATTTGGAATGCCTGTTGGTTTTAGAATGAGTCGGAACGGGAGAACAGTCCTAATAAACAGAACCAAAACCGATTCCGTGACCGCGAGATGAAGACCATTGCTTACAAAAATGCTTCTAAGAAACCAGAAGAAGAAAATACCGCATTTCAGGCAAAGAGACCCAGAGAAGACGACAGCGATGGGGCAACAAATCTCACTAAGAGGAAGAAGGTGATGAACCAGTCGGGTAAGTTCCTAAACAACGTTCGCCTCATCTTTAACTTCATGTTCACATCTTCGAAACTGACGAATATGCAGCTGGAAGTTTGCTGTAGCATCGCTTAATGGTTATTGCTGCCGGATGCCAGTAATAACTTCTGCTTGATGTTAAAGCTGGTCATAGTAAAATCTAGACACTTGTGTGCTTTGAGTGGAGCCTAGATAATTAATGAGGCTTGCCAAATATGATATATACAGGTAGGTCCCGTTTTACGACAGGGTTAAGTTCCAGTAAAACAAGGTAAAATGAAAAGTCATAAAACAAGACCAAATTATAATGCAATTAAATGCTATCATTCCACCCACAATGCACCACGAAAAACAAAAGAAGCACATATTGTGTGTTTGAACTCACAGGCGTTGCTGCGATGTGTTATTGAGTTGTTGTTTTTGTCATTTCCAATTTTTAGGTAATTTTGAAAAGGTCGTTAATGTGAAAAGTCGTAAAACGGACCATCGTAAAACGGGATCTACCTGTAGTCTAACTCTGTACCTAAAGCATCTAAACTGGTGAACCAACAATGAGAAGGCCACAGCTCATAATATATGCCTTTTTATATGCATTGCTGTTTTCTGGATTTCATTTATTAATTTTACTAATGAGTAATACTAATTATTTATTCATTTCTAGTGTGATCAACTTTTTGGATCCAATTACAATGAATTTAGCTGTTACCATTGTGCATATTATTGATTTTTTATTGAACATACGGTACAACACATATCGTTACAGTTTACTATGTAACTAAATCGAAGTTTTGTCCACAGACAGTTGCCATGGCGATGATAGCGAGGATGAATCCAGTGAAGATGGAAAGCGAACATCACAAAAGCAGGCTGAGCCCACAGTTGTGCTCGAAGACGTTTTAAAAATCCGCTCCCCCATCAGAAAAGGTGCCATTACGAAGACTGCCTCCAAGAAAGAGAAAGAGAGGAAGGCTGATCATACGGAGATGGAGGCAGCCGAGAAGAGAGCACGTCAGCGACTGTCTATATCCCTTGAAGATGCTGTGGAACAAGTCACACAGTCGGGCAGTGATGCCGAGGTTGAATGTTCTCATGATGACAAAGGGAGCAACAGTGAAGATGGCTCAGCAAAAGCATGGAAGGACGAGGAGATCGCTAGTGATTCTGGCCCCGATTCAAATGCAGCAACACCGGCTATGTTGCCTAAGGGAAAACAACAAGGAAAGAAGGGACAGGTTGTTTCGAACTCGGAATCAAGTTCAGATGATGAGGTGTTATCTAGCAAGAAGAATCCAGGAAATAAGAAACAAGAAGACATGGAGTCTGGTAGTGGTTCTGGGTCAGAATCCTTAAAGTCAAAACCGATCGAACGGCCGGCAAGGAGAGGGATAGGTAAGAAAGTTATAGACAGTAAGAAGCAAGTTGACGCTGATTCGGATGATCAAGTGTTAGCTAGCAAGAAGAAAACAAGAAGTAAGAAACAGGTTAAAGTGCAATCCAACAGTAATTCTGAGTCAGAAACTCCAAAGTCGAGTCCGGTTAAGCAGCAAGCAAGAAAGAGACAAATCAAAAAAATGACAGCCAGTAAAGAGCGAACTGACTCTGACTCAGATGATGAAGTATTAGCCAGCAAGAAGAAGGCGGGAAATAAGAAACAAGCAGAAATGGAACCTGACAGCGATTACGAACCGGAAGCCTCAAAGTTAAAACCGAAAAAGCGGCAAGGAGAGAAAGTGAAAAGCAAGAAGGTTATGACCAAGAAAAACGAAACTGACTCTGACTCAGATGATGAAGTATTAGCCA